AATAAATTCTTATTTTTTTAATTCTTTTAATGGAAGAATCAATTTTCAGTTATTCTCCTTTACAGCTAAGCGGACTTAGCTTTGTTTTTTAATGAATAGAATATTTTTTTTTTGGTATTTAAGGGTTAAAGTATTTCATATTAATTTTGATGTATTTTAAAAATAATTATTTTTTGTCAATGATTTAAATAATTTAGTGATTATTTTTTTTATTGAAAATAAAAGATCATGAATTCAAATCGCATGATATGTGCGTGAGATAAAATAAGGAATAAGAGATGGTGCAATTAAAATAAAAAAATAATTAATTAATTATTTTTTGAATGAATTTAAATTCTAAATTTCACATATAAGATTAGCTTCCCGTTAAAAATAATAGATCTTAAATTGGAGTCATATGATATGCAAATATAGTAAAATAAAAAATAAAAAGTGATTACTTTTTATTGTATAATTAAAATAAAAATAAATAAATAAATAAATATTTTGTGAATGAATTTAAATTATAAACTTCACATATAAGATTGCTTATTTTACTATAATCGTGAATCCACTCGAAATGAATAGAATAAACTTTATTATTGGTGAATTTATAGAAGGAGCCAGCAGTAAGCACGAATCGAGTTTCCAAACTCAAATATGATCTCCCCTGCAAATAGGATTTCTGTTTTTACCGATTTAGATTCCGGGACAGCCGGCTGAATCTCATCAGAAAAGATAACATCCGCAACACTTGAAGGGACAATTCCTTCTGATTGGCTGGTGTCGACAAGCTGCGAGGGCAGCTGATGGGAACTCCTGGAGAGGAGCTGCTGCCACGCTGTCGGGTGCTCTGCCATGGCCTCAACTTCCGGAACTGCACCATCCCATCTTCTCCGAGCACGTGGTTGTCGTCCCACACCATACCTGACGACCCTTGCCTGCTAAATGAAACTGCAGACCTCTGCAAAGTTGCCATGAGACTATATTCTTCCCAACCTCTCTCATCTTTTCTTCTCTACGTGTTATACACTTATGTATTAGCTTACACAAAAGCATGTATTTATATGCACATGCTATATATGCTCTTAAGTAGGAGGAAACGGAATGAGGAAAAA